GGGGGGGGGACGATCGAGCGCCCCCCCCTCCCTGCGCCTTACCAGGCCAACGTGCCCTCGGCATTGGGAGGGTGTCCCCATGCCGATGGGGACAAGGGCCTCTTCCCCCACAACCCTGACCCGGTGGTTGTGGGGGTCTGCGGGCAAGGGGGCTTATTTGCATCGGGGTGCCCCTTTAAATAAAATTGTGCAGTGCTACTCTATCCAATCGGAGTATCAACACTGGTACATTAATATCTATAAACTGAACTTAGAAAAAACCCAGACATAGCAAAATGCAGCTGAAGCAATGCAACAAACAGAAAACATTATCGATTGTACGTGAATGTGTAATGTTACTGTATACACCAATCAGCCATAACATTCTGACCACTGAGAGGTGAGTGAATAATATTGATTATCTCCTTACAATGACACCTGGAAGTGGGGGGGATATATTGGGCAGCAAGTGACCATTTGTCCCTGAAGTTGAAGTGTCGGAAGCAGAAAACTTTGGTCAATTTTGACAAGGGCCAAATTGTGATGTCTAGATGGCTGGGTCAGAGCAACTTCAAAACTGCAGCTTTTGTTGGATGTTCCTGGTCTGCAGTGGTCAGGACCTACCAAAACTGGTCCAGGGAAGGAAAACCGGTGAACCGTCATCAGGGTAATGGGTGGCCAGGGCTCATTGATGCATTTGGGGAACAAAGGCTGGCCCATGTAGTCAAATGGAAGAACTACTGTAGCTCAAATTGCTAAAAAAGTTAACGCTGGTTCCAATAAAATGGTGTCTGAACACACAGTGCATCTCAGTTTGTTGCGTTTGGGGCGGCATAGCCACAGATGGGTCAAGATGCCCATGATGACCCATGAGCACCGCCAAAAGCACCTACAGTGGACAGGTTAGCATCAGAACTGGACAATGGAGGAAGGGGGCATGGTCTAATCACATTTTCTTTTACATCTCGTGGATGGCGGGGTGCGTGGGTGTCATTTACCTGGGGAAGAGATGGCACCAGAATGTACTATGGGAAGTAGACGCGGAGGCAGTGCGATGCTTTGGGCAATGTTTTGCTGGAAAACCTTGGCTCCTGCCATTCATGTGGATGTTTCTTTGACCCATACCACCGACCTAAACATTGTTGCTGACTTAGTACACCCCTTCATGGAAACTATATTTCCTGATATCAGTGACCTCTTTACTTCAAAGAAAAAAGAAATCGGCTCATTTTTATTTTGCCCTTCTCTACTTCCACATAAAGCAGGTCAGGTGTATTGTCATCTGAACACATAATTATGTACCGGAGGTGGATTTAGAGACTCAATTTCTGACAGGACAAGTTGAGATTGCTTTGTTTACATAATACATTGCGGGCCATTAGCCTGGAGGCCAGTCCAGCTGACGTCCACCAAGAACATGCAGGTGAATGTGGTGCACAAACTGTCCACCATCTGTACTCTCATTGATGACCAGCCGAAAGCAATTTGCCAAGCCCAGATAGGCAATGCATTTCTTGCCAACAATCATCAGATGTCCTAGTAGAGCTGACCTCTTTCAGCAGGATAATGCATCCTGCCACACTAAAAAAAGGTTTAAGAATGGTTTGAGGAACACAACAGTGAGTTTGAGGTATTCCCTTGGCCTCCAAATTCTCCACAACTTAATCCAATTGAATATCTGTGGGATGTGCTGGAAAAACAAGTCCGATCCAACTCCCCAAATTACAGGACTTAAAGGATCTGCTACTGACGGCTTGGTGCCCTATACCACAGCATACCTTCAGAGGTCTGGTGGAGATTAGAGGCAGCAAATGGAGCTGGGCTTTTTCTACTGGTTCTGCAGAGTTTCATGTGAGTCTGTTTTTATTGATTTTTATCCAAAAAGAAAAATTTCCCTATTATCAGATTTTTCTGTTTCTTGAGCAAATTGATTTTTTGGGCTGAAGACATACCTAAGAAGATGTATAGGAGGACCCACAAAGACCTTGTATTCTATACACTGCTGATGACTTTTTTTGTTGTTTTTGTTTTAATTATAAGTTCACATATCCTCCTAGTGAGTCATCTCAAGTAAGTGGTGATCCCACAGGTGTTGGAATTCATGGTCACTTTGATTTCATATTGATACTTTTATTTTTCATTTTGGATAGAGCAGGAATGGGGGGAAAAAACCCCTCTGTCATGCTTTTCATCTGTGCCCCGTTAAGGAGACTTCTCTTCACTTAACGTCTTGTTCTGTAGACACAACAGGAAGTGAGAGAAAATCTCTCCAACCGGGAGGAATGCTTTCGTATACAGTTGACTCTTTAACAAGTGTCATCCAATAGAAGGTTTCCCCTCTTCCTTTTCTGGTGGCAACTCAAACTTTTGGTTTCTCCCACATTTTCAGTTCCAGTGACAATAGTCGCCAGGACAAATCGAGAAAGCGAATCTCCCTTCAAGACACACAGGCAGCAAATACAATACTGAGAGAGGTTCTAAACACTTACCACTCTATCTAAAATGTAATAAAAGATGTTTTAACTTGAGGTACACTTGAAGCAAGAGAGCAGAGAAGCAGCCATACTCAAACTGAGGTGGCAACATTAATTCCGGTGAGTGAAATCCTACGGCACGAAACAATTAGATTCAATTAATTGTTAATATGCTTCTCAGAGCCAGGAACATTTCAGAAACCATCTGTGCGGGAAAGGAAAAAATGCACGGAGTGCACAGTTTGTGATTGGACAGATAATTGAAACCTACATTATAGTTTGTTCCTGTGAATTACTGTTTACCTTTTTTTACTTTTTCTAATTTTTGTTTTTTTAAATAAAAAATGCCCGCGCTTTGTTGGCTAGTAAACTGTGAGCTGACTCTACTTAACCTTAAGGTGCCCATACACTGCACGATTATCGTACGATAATCGTATGCGATCGGTTTTTCGGACGATAATCGCGCAGTGTCTGGGTAGCGTGCAACCGCGGATACTGTACAATCGTACGACGTTTGACTACCTATCATGTTCGAAAACCTGTGCGTAATCGTACGATAATCGTTCAATGAGAAGTAATCGTCAATGATCGCACTGTTCGTTCAGCGCATGCATTAAACGATCGAGCAATCGGAAGTAGAATGATGGCAGCTGGCTGTACTCGCAGCATCCACACCTCTGTTCTGGTACCCACATGGACCACTTGCTCAGCCATTGCTGGGGCTACATGTTGCGTACAGATGCAAGAACCAATGCTCACACCAAAATCATATCTCCATGTAGCTGACACACATGCTGACCACTCCCCATGTGCACCACACATGAGGCTGCTGAAAGTGACCCCCTAATAATTGCAATGAACCACATGCAACGCAAACCATGCAACATGAATAACATGTCCATTCTCCTTTTTGGAGACAATTTGATAAAAGTGATTACTTCCGTCGGTCGATCGAAATCGTACGATTATTAGTGCGGTCGTACGATTATCGGATCGACCTCTATCGAGACAAGTTGGGTGCGTCGCACGATGATCGTTCGATATTCCGATCGTCGAGGGGTTTTATTCGTACGATAATCGTGCAGTGTATGGGCACCTTTTACACGTGATCGGTGGTACACAGAAGAATCCAGACAGCAATGAATATGTGGAAGCAGTGGTTTTCATAATGCATACTGGGGGGACATGATCAATACTGGAGCAGACAGAATGTGGAGCAGTTGCCCATGGCAACCATTCAGCTTCTCTCTTCGGTTTGTTCAGTTAAAGTGACATTTAAAGTCAAATTCCCCCCCAATCCTGCTGTAGGGACTTGCCTTAAATGATGTCTCTTAATCCGATCTTCTTTCCTGTCCTTCTCGGCTGTCCCTCCAGCGCTGGGTGCGGGTCTCAGATCCAGTGCTGACTCCCCTGTCCTTCTCTGATGTCTCACGGTGTCTGTGCGGGTGCACGCTGCTCCATATACTTACCCTGTGCCTCTCCTCGTCTCCCGGCTTAACATCTGAACTGCACATGCGCCCACCCCAAGATGCTTTGTGGCCGACAGATGTTCGGACGGGAGTGCGCAGCGAAACCACAGGTAAGTATTAACCCTTTTAAAAAAAATGTTTTTGCATAGATCTACTGCTTGCTAGCTACAGTGTATCTTTAAAAATTTTCCTGAGCATTTATCATGTTTCAGAGCAGCTGCCTCCAACTCTCTGCTCGGCTTCCCTGAACTTCCTGTCAAGAGCAGAGTCTCCAGCAGATGTCCATCTACTAGATTGGGGAAGGATGAAAGGGGGAGCAAGGGAGTAGCTTGTTGAAGGAAGGAGGGGAGAGATGACGACAAGATGGTGGCTTGCCCTTCTGTGCCTGTGTGTTTGTGGAGACGCACGCAGCTTACTAGCTCACACAAGGGTGACTCCATAGGACTCTGCAAGGGAACGGAGCCACCCTAAAACAGGATATCGGGGCCAGTGCTCAGGGGATCAGCTGATTCTACAGGAAACTAAAACTTCATCAAGAAGCAGCATGAATTAATCAACATTTAATATAGTTTAACAACCTTTTGACTTTATCACTTTAATTCAGTGTTCATTTATGGCCCCTATACAAGGGGCAGATGTCATCTTATATTTGTTTGGGGAGTACGCTCCATATAATGTGTTTTCAGTCTGTGATTATAACTGTTGTGGAACAACAACTCGATGGACTAGGTCCTCAATGGCTGTAATGCTACAAGTTGTAAAATACTCAACTAAAGATATAGATGAGACTGAGCAAATGGAAATGTTTATAGATGTGTACAGAGCTGAGGATATCTGATATACGGGTAGTATTGCAGGTTCATATACGCGCACAGATTTCATTTCCATAGAGCTATAGAAAAAAAAAATCACTTTTCAGCATAAATAGTAAGCTTGCTTTAGTCTATACATAATTTCTTGCTCTACAGATTCGCCCGTTAGGAACAGTTAGAAAACAGGAAGTCAAGCATGATTAACTAACTATTGACCAATGTAAACTCTCTCTACATTTGTGGTTAAAATGACAACTGTACCTAAAAGACTGGAGAGACCAGGACAAAGATTTGCAATGACCTCACGAGAGCACTGCCGATGCTGGACAGAGGGAGTCTGCAGCATATGTTAATAACGACCCTCCCTGCCTTTCACTAACGAACCTGTAATTAGTAGCGTGCCAAAACATCTGTCAGCTTCCAATTATAGTGTGGGTGTGAGCATCTGCTGCCATATAAATAGGGAACAGACCAGGTAGTAAATGAGCTTAGTATAAGGCCATGGGGGCTATTGAAGTGTTCTCGCAATGTTTACAAGTGAGACATTTTAGCCTATAATATGTTTCACCAAAAAAAGCTAATTATTGTAACTCGTATATTAGCATTGCAGCCAAAACCTTTGGTTTGTAGTTTGGATACAGACCATGTTAGAGCTAGAACCTTTTGTTAGATTTTTTTGTTTTTGTTTATAGCTGTCTGTTGGGAAACATATCCCCTAAGTTCTTGTTGTCCCCAGGATGAGAAGTGTAAAAGTCCCCAGCAGATCCATAAGCACAACAGCTGTGGCACCATCACATGCAGTTCACCAGAATAATGACAGAAGGGAGTAGGGTGGAATTATGCAATACAGCAATGTCAGAATAAACAACTGAAGCACAGAGCGCATAGACTCCCTGTAGGCACCTCAGTTTTTAAATGTTGACTGGAGTGTGATTCTAACATTTCTACAGACCTTACACACCCACCCTTGTGTGTGCTAGTAAGCTGTGTGTGTTTCCACATTACACAGCAAGGCAAGACACTCCCCCCACTCCATGTTCTTCCCTTCTCCCATTTCCCAGCTAGTAAATGGCCAGCTACTGGAGACTGCTATGTTCCTTGTAATCTTGTACTGGACAGGAAGTTCAGGGAAGCAGAACTGAGAGAGTTTAAACATGACGACTCTTGTGTGCTTTGGCAAAAATATAAAGACATACTTTGCTGGGCAATGTATATTTGTTTGATCTGGATTCAATATTGAAAAAAGAGTTTAATACTACTTTTAAGATCAGTCTGGTTAAGGGTCTTTAGTGCTACAGATCACCCAAACCGCCCCCTTCTCTCTTCCCAAGACCTCCAGCTCTCATGTCACCTTCTCCCATGCTCACCTCCAGGACTTCTCCTGAGTGTCTCCCATTTTCTGGAACTCCCTACCCCGATCTGTCTGCTTATCTCCTACTCATCTCTTCCGGGAGGCCTATTCCACCTTGATACAACGGTACTTTCACTTCTTTTATTAAATCATCCCACACAATTATTACCTTTTTGTATCACTTACGCCTCCTAATAGACTGTACGCTCTCATGAGCAGGGCCCACCTACCTCCGGTACTGAAATTGCATTGTTAATTGTATTGTCTCCCTCAATTTTGTAAGCGCTGCACAAACTGTTGGAGCAATAGAAATCCTGTATTTATTATAATAATATCTCCCATCTGGAGGTTTGCTGGGGGATGCAGAAATTCCCTGTAGCAGCCTGTGCTACATACAGTCAGCGCTGGTCTCTTCTGGGTGCTGCTTGATTGACCTGTCTTTTTATATGGAACACAGGGAGTTGCTCGCTCGGTACCTCCTCCATTCTGAACGTCTTGTATTTTTTAAAATTGAAAACAATGCACTCCCTGATTGGATGAGACAGAGATCAATGTAGCAAGGCTAGTGTCGTGAATTTCTGCATCCCCATCAGCTCTCCAGGTTTGAGAAATAAAAAATTAGATGTAACCAAAACTGGACCAATGCAACTTTAAAAAAAGACCATTCCTGGAGTGCGCCTTTTTCGCATAAAAAGTGAAAAATCCTTTTTTTTTTTTTTTTTTTCTTGTTGCGCCTTTCGATTTTTAGTTGAAAGCAACAAAACTGTATCTCTGGATCTACAATCTTGTGTCCTTAATAAGTGATATTACAAGTAACCGTTTGCAGCCTTGTAAGCAGTCTTAAGGTGGCCATACACCTTACGATTATCGGACGACACTTTTCGTCCGATGATCGAACCGTTGTACGGCGGCCCCATTATGCCCCGGTTATCGCAAGGTTCAGTTAGCTTTAATTAAAGAAAAGCACCTGGACAAATTGCAGTAATCAACCGCACGTATTTTCGTGTGCGCATGAGCAGTGTATATTGTACACTTTTTGACGTACGGAAACGCCACTAACCTTGCAATAATCGTACGACCGACCAAAGTTTTCAAACATGCTTGAGAAGTCAAAAGTCGTACGATTGTACAGTATATTTGCGGTTGTACACCTGAAAATGCGATCGCATACGATTTATCGTACGATAATTGTAAGGTGTATGGGCACCTTTTACTTTG